CAAAAGACTTGGGCCGAGATGCTTGGTGATGATGATGATGATGATGATGATGATGATGACGACGACGACGATGATGATGATGAACATGATGACGATGATGATGGTGATCGTGATGATGGTGATGGTGATGATAGTGATGATGATGATGATGGTGATGATGCCGAAGATGATGACGATGACGATCACGATGACGATGATGATGGTGATGATGATGATGACGACGACGACGACGATGATGATGAACATGATGACGATGATGATGGTGATCGTGATGATGGTGATGGTGATGATAGTGATGATGATGATGATGGTGATGATGATGTTGATGATGATGACGAAGATGATGAACGATGATGATGATGGTGGTGATGATGATGATGATGATGGCGATGATGGCCATGATGGCGATGGCGACGGCGACGGCGATGACGATGGTGGTAATGGTGATCCTGACGATGGCAATTGCGACGGTGATCGTGGCTACCATACTGATGATGACCTTGGCCCCTGGCGCCGCGATCTTTACCCAGCAGGAACTTCTTGAGCGCCATTTCGACGGATTTGTGCTTACCCTGCCGGACTTTGCGTGTGCCAGGACTGAGATGGGCTTGAGAGTTGGCCAGGCTCGGCGGATGCATTTCCCTAAAGCAATGGTGGTCGGGGCGGGGCTCTATGTGAAGGAGCGCAAGCCCCTGGAACCAACAAAGACGTTCTCTTTCTCGGTAGTATGTGCCTTTGCTTGCGGTTAGCTGGCGTTCTCTTGTACACCGGCCTTCTTCGCCCGTGCAGTCGCACGGTTTTCTTTCAGGGCCTGAAGGCTTGCCGAGCCATTCAAAGAGCATTCCTATGAGGTGGAGACTAGGCAGGACGAAACTTTCGGCACCAAAGGTCTGAGGCGAGAGCTCGGAAGCAAATGGTGACCATCCTGGGCTGTTTGAGAGCTCGGGAATTCAGGCACCGAAATTCTGTCGCCGCTGCCGCTGTGAGCAAGTTTGTTCATGCTCGGGACTTGTTGCAAGGGTTCACTTGCATGGGTAGAAACACACATCTGTACTGTAGCGATCAGCAGTAGTGGTAGCCTTCGTTGTTTTTGCTATTTTACTAGTGGGAGTCGTCGTAGCAGCAAGAGTAGAAGTGAGAGGTGCAACAGCGGCAGTAGCCGTAGCAGTAGCAGTAGCAGTAGCAGTAGCAGTAGCAATAGCAGTGGCAGTGGCAGTGGCAGTGGCAGTGGCAGTGGCAGTGGCAGTAGCAGTCGCCCGCCGCCGCAGCTGCAGCGGCAGTGGCAGCGGCAGGGGCAGCGGCAGGGGCAGCAGCAGTAGCATAGCAGTATCGAGTTGTCGACAGCAGTAGAAGTAGCAGTGGCAGTCGTAGTAGTGGAAGTAGAGGAGTCGTAGTCGTAGTCGTAGTCGTAGTCGTAGCAACAGCAGTAGTAGCAGTAGTAGTAGTAATAGTAGTAGTAGTAGTAGTAGTAGTAGTAGTCGTAGTACTACTACTACTACTACTACTACTACTATAGTAGTAGTAGTAGTAGTAGTACTGGTACTAGTAGTACTAATCGTCGTAGTAGTAATCGTCGTAGTAGCCGTAGTAACAGTAGTAGTAGTAGTAGTAGTAGTAGTAGTGCTACTACTACTACTACTACTACTACTACTACTACTACTACTACTACTACTACTAGTGCTGCCACCACCACCACCACCGCTACCTTCTACTACTACTACCACTACCACTACCAGGTTACCACCACAGCTACTACTACTACTACTACTACTACTACTACTACTATTCCACTATTACTGCTACTGCTACTGCTACTACTACTACTACTACTACTACTACTACTACGAGTACTACTACGAGTACTACTACGAGTACCGGTACGACTACTATTACGACTACTACTACGACTACTACTCCTACTACTACTACTACTACTGCTACTACTAGTACTACTACTACTGCTACTGCTGCTGCT